ATGGTACGAGTTCTTCCTCCAGAGTATGGGGAGAGCAACTATTTCGGTGCCTGGGAGGTTGTCCATACGGAAAACAGGAGGATTTGAACTTGATACGATTCACGAGGCTTCATCAACCAACGTCACGGCCCCATATACGTTTTGTCATTTTCCACATGCATCTTCGGCACATTTCCTTCCTGTCTAAACAAGGTTTCCTCACGAGCATCGTCATATAATTGGTTCTGGAAAGCGACAGCATCAAACATTTGCCACGTTTAGAAGGGCATTCTCCAACACTTACTACCCATTATTACCAGGTCAATCCTAAGAAATGGATTTTCATTCATAACATCCGAACATCTCAAACTACAACAACACTTTACCGGCTCCAAGATTCCTCTACCCAACACCGATGTCATCCTTCTACCCCCTCAACAAAATCGCGATTGAACATATCGACCACTTTTCTTTCCTCTTACCTTTTCATTTGATTTCTCTTCCTCTCTTTTTTTCTTTGCATATACGGGCGCATTGAATGGTGCATATTTATTGGTGGCGGGGTATTGGTGTATTTGGTCGGGTCGTTTTTGTTCCTTTATTTTGTAGGAGTGTTCATGACCTCCTAAAGCTCATTTGCATGGCTAGTCTGCGGGTGGCATAGATGTGGAGAGACAACATGGTTTCATCTTCAGCGTCATCTCTTTTGTATATATCAACCATTGCGGCACGCATGACGATGTAGCATGTATATAAAGGCGGGTGAATTGCGAGCCGCCGGGGCAACAAGTATAAAACTTATAAGCGGGTCTAGCATTTGATTATCCTTTGCATCTTGTGTGATGTTGCTTGTAGCAAACCCCTTTCTCTTTTCTTATTCAAGTATTAAGTGTTTTTGTCATTAAAAAATTCCAAGCAAGAAAGCGGCAAGTGGTATCATAGTTAACTTTCCCAATCCATGTTGCAAAATCCAAACCATTCCAACATTTCGTGCCCGTGTTGACCTGCCCCGAAGTCATCGTTACTTGTTCTATCAGCCTCCCTTCTCCGAAAGCAAACAAAGAAAGGACCAAAATCGTACACAACAGTACTGCATCTTGGGTATAACGCAAGATTTTGCCGTCTACGCTGAGACTTTACTTTTTTCTTTTCTTTTCTTTATGACGCCGTAGCTCCCCCCGCCGCCTCTATCGCCGTGAGACTCTCCCTCGTCTCGGTGGCTAGGTCATCGACCACGGGTCTCAGGACGTCATTGGCCCCCTTGACGTCAGCGACAACAGCATCGAGGCGGTCGAGCAGGGCGGCGATCTCCTCGCGCTGCTGTCGGACCTGGTCGTATAGGAGGGCGTTTTGCGACTGAGTCGTTTGGAGACGGGCGTTGAGCTGTGACTGATGGGCGGTGAGGGCTGGGTGCAGGTGTGCGGAGAGGATGGTGTCTGGAGGGAGCAGGTGAGGTCTTTGAAGCAATGAAAATAAATGATCTCGGTCAGTCTTCTAGCTGTCATGGGTGTCCTTTTTTCTTGTTCGTATGGGCCGCTGCCAGCATTGCTACTGAAGCAACACAGGGCAAGGAGAGATGGGGAACCTGAAAGGGAGGGGGGAAACATACGGGATGGGTTGAGAAGGGTCTCCGGATTGTGATGCTTCCTTACGGCGACTGGCGGCGGCGCCGATGAGACCTTCGAGGTCGTTCAGTTTTGGGACAACTTGTCTCGCATATAGGATATTTTCAAACTCCTTCTATACAATCTCTCAAGATTTTTTTTCTGTAATTAGCACAATTCTTTTTTGTTTTCTGTTCTTCTTTTCCATTCTTGTGCTCATCATTTCCAAAGTCGCACACTCTTACGCTTCTTTATTTCTTTCTTCCTTCCCCCCTCGTCTTAATTCATTCTTCCGCTTTGAAAACTCACCTCGCACTTCTCCCCCAGCTTGTCCACCATCTGCGCCTGCACCTGCCGCAGCACGCCCTCCGCCTTCCTCGCCACGGTCGGGTAGCACCCGGCAAAATTGTCCCAGCCCAGCTTCGCCAGCGTGCGCTGCAGCCGCTGAGCGTACAGCTCCTGCAGACGCGCCGCGCGAGGGCCCGGAGCGACGGGTGTGTGCCGAGCGGGAAGGGGAGGGGATTCTGGCGGCGCCGGCGCATCAGCATCTTGTTGTTGTTGTTGTTCTTCTCCTTCCGTGGCCATGGCCGTGTCTTTGGACTGTTGCGCTCCGGTCTCTGGTGGTGGTATTGATTGCCCACTGCTCTGATCGTTGTTGGGGGGATGGGTTACGCCTTCGCTGTCTTGTTGCATTGGTTCTGAGGGGGCGCGTGCTTGGTCGCCACCTTGCGATTGGGACGCCATTGTTATATAAACGGTTTAATTGATTACTTATTAGCCCAAGGTCAATCAATGATGATCTTGGTGGTGAGGTTTCGAATTGGCGGGGAGAGGGGAGGACGCGACACCGATAAGATAAGACGCGTGTGGAGTGCTGCATTGACTTGACTGCACGTGTTTTCGCGGCAAGGCCTGCCTATCTATCTGTCTGTCTATCTGTCCGTCTGTTTGTCACTATTAGTACCTTAAGTAAGGTAGCAAGTAACGCACTGGCGTAGCCTGCCGATAGTTTGATTAGGTACGTAGGTACATAAAATGGATTGCATTGCTTGCTTGCTTGGCTTGATTGTAGTATCGAACAATGAGCACACAGAGTCTACGGGAGTAAACAATGCGCGACCCAGGACAGGGTTGACGTCAGTTTCTTCACCAGGGCTTGACAGAAACCAGACGCTGTGTGGATAGCATTTTTCATCATTCATGGTCTATACTAACAATCTAAGAAAAAAAAAAACGGCAAGCCTTTGCCAGTGTTATCTGCTTATATGTAATAAGCCTTCTTGTACAGTTGGACGAATATGTTCCCTTCGCCCAATCTCATCCAGGAATTTCCCATCTTCTCCCCAGTCTATGCATCGAAGTCCTATTCCTACATCTTCCTTCAGTTAAGCTCAAGTCCCGTTCCGTCCCAGCCATTTTCACCTGAATGGCTATACCAACTCCACTCCGTTCCCATATCCAAGGGAAAGTCTATTGGGTATCGGCATCAAAAGAAAAACCCTCCAAAAAAAATTGACAAAAGAAAAAAACCCAAAAGATATTTTGGTTCGTCTTCCACAATCGCAGGCAGCCTGCTCTTTTAGTTGGCCGCTAAAATTGCAGCAGCATCAGCATCCGAAGTGTGATCTCGCTTACCCCCGTTCCGCCGTATCTCCTCTTCTTCGTGCTTCTTTTTATCCGCCTCCCTCTGTCGCTCATGGCTCACATAGGTCGCATATCGCAGTGTACCTAACGTCAGAACCGCCATGAAAAGAATACCGAGAACAGATCGTCGAATCAGAATCCATCGCACTGCTTCAATTTCGGACTTCGCATCGCTAGTCAACAAGATGCTAATCTTGTAGTTGATTTGTTGTACCTAGTGGGATTGTCAGATGTGGGTAAGTCGATACAACTGCACAAGGGTAACTCACAGCACTCTCAACCGCCTTTTGCTCCTCTCGCACCGTCATCCTGCGGTCGTTGAACATGCCTCGCACGTTATCGTTCAGAGTTAAGAGTTCCTGGTTCAGGGTTTGCGTCAAAATGTCCACCTCATGTTGCAGGTGTATTCGTTGCTGTCTCATTTGCTCTTCTGAAAGTCGACGGTTATTCTTGATTTCCGTACTCAGTTCAGAGCATGCAGCTGTGAAAAGGTATGTTTCCTAGGCATCGCGTGAGTAACAATACATATGATAGATAATCAGAGTTGCGCGACTCACGTTTTCTACATCACTCTTGCTGACTAGAGTAGATTGTGCAACATCCAGATTCTGCGCTAACGATGTGCGAATTGCTTTCATAGATGTAATAGCTTGGTCGTTCGTATACCCTCCTTCGGACAACTGCTTTACGAGCGAGAATGTATCAAAGTGGTGGATGTATGATGATGGCGTCAGAGCTGGGCTCGGCTTATCCATATTCTCCGGGGGCTCCATGTGAAGAACGGCTTCTAGAGGTCCACTCTGTTTGGCCTCCTCCCGAGCCAATCGAGCCCGTTCCTCTTCGGCAGACTGTTCCGGACTTGATTTTGATTCCTTTGATGCCGGCTCTGTGTTCGCTGTCTCGCCTGATTGTGCAGATGGCTTGGCCGATGTATTCATTCCAGAGTTCGATGATGAAGAGACATTCGCGCCACTAGTCGCTGAAGCAGATTCGGTCGTATTGGTAGATTGCTGGGTAGGAATCTGACCAACTCCCATGGTTGAAGGCGCTGCGGCAATGATAGTATCGGGCAAAGCATCGGTCGTTTGGGAGTTGGTGCTGTTCAATTGAGGTGGTTCAACCGCCTTGCCTCGCCTCCTGGCAAAGGTCCCTCTGTGCCGGGTAAGCTCAGCGCCAGCGCGAGGTGACCAGCCAGCGCGAACTGCTCGCAACAAATGCGGATTCATGTACGACAAGCGGGTGGCAGCCGCCATCGCGGGGCGCGCCAATGATTGCCTCATGGCAGAGAGAAGAAGAGGGATGCCTGTGGAATTATTATCGAAATAGACTTGAACGGGTCATGGGAGGCACTGAGATTGGGAGAATGGAACAAGATGTTGTCAGTGTTGTATGTCGAGTGAGAGACTGCTGATGCCCAGCATGCCAACGACTCGCAGCTAATTAGAGGGAGTTGTTTCGAGGGCCGGAACCGGCACCTACCGTGGCCGTGCCCGCCCGTACCTGCCTTGATCTGCACGTGGCGTCATTTCGCCAAAACAGAGGGCTAGCTACCGATAGTAGCCGGGGGGGGAAGAGGGAGGGGCGATGGACAATTGGAAGAGACGGTGGGTACGGCTGAGTGTGGGGTGCGGTTTGAGACCATATTCATACTGTGATAATATCAAACCTGTTTCCTAGTTCAGGTGTCAGTCTCCCCGCCTCAGCCTCCGCCAAGTCTACCTGAAATCCACTGCGTACAAAGGGGGGATTTCTTTCCGCTGCGCAGAACAGGCAGGCCTGATGGTCTAGTGGTATGATTGGCGTTTCGGGATTTATTTCCAAATTCTCTTAGAGAAGAAGATATGCCAGGTCCCGGGTTCAATCCCCGGTCAGGCCCTGATTTCTTTTTTTTTCTCAATTCCTTTTTTGTCTGTCGCCCTCTCTCTACGGATTAGATGGCCAGGCCAATATACCTGCCGCAATGTCTTCTCCTGCAAGTCAGTATACTTAGGACTATGACTAGCCAAAGGCACTTATTAGGCTACCTACCTAGTCAGCGGGAACAACCCGCCCACACTTAATTGATCCTACTCACACTGGCTAACTAAGGTACTCGGGACTTGAGACTACTGTGACAGTAAACCTTGCCTGCACACTCCTCGTCATCCTAAGAAATTACCAAAAAAAAATACTTCACTCGTGGTAGTTATCGCTCCCATAGCAAAATCAAATTGATACAACACATCAATCGTGAATACCATACAGGTGACGTAGCAACAACATGTTCAGGCTGCCTTGGGAGTTGCCGCAAAAAATCAACTTACTACACATTTTAATGTCTCATAATTTATTCATCATGCCAGGTTAACCTACAGCTCCCTCCAACACCAGCATAGATATCTCTCATGTAATATTCAGACAATATTATGCACGCAACACGTATATTTATTTGCCCAAGTCAACACCATCCGATAGAAACCACACAAGCACTCACTTCCAGCACCAGAATCTCTATAGACAGCCAAAATATCATTTGTTCCAAGGTCCATATTTCCGACCTTCTCTCCGTTCCATACATACCGTGGCATCACCCTCCGGCCTACAAAAGGCACCTAGCTATGTTGAGTGCTCATCCTTTACCCATAAATCCTCGACCGTAGTCTAGTACGTACTCCAGGTGCCTCCCCTCCCAAAATCATCAAGATGTCTCCTCAACCCGCCAGCCAAACCGGATTACACAACGACCGAATACGACCCATGACTGCAAAACAAGACACCCAAGAACCAAGCAAAAACCAACAATTCCAATATCGCCGCTGGTAACGTTTTTTTTGTTCCCCCTTTCCCGCTGATGAGACCTGTTCAATCATAAGAGAAATACCTGTTGTCTCGGGTTGACCTGGCCCGCCGTCCGCTGATAAGAATATCCAGAATCGATACTTTTGTACAGCAACCATGTTCCAGAGAAGAGAGGCGGAGTAAGGAGTTGTATATATATAATCCTTCACCCCGCTAAGCTGTATTAGTAAACCATAAGTGATGCCATATATTCCATGTGAAAGGGAGTGTAACGTCTATGGGTACTTTTTGAAGTTTGAAAGCGAGGAAGGGTGTCTGACTATTGAACCCTTTTGAAGTATGCAGAGTCCCCGAAAACAGCTCATAATACAATCGAAAGAAGAGAAGCCGCCTGCCCAAGAGGGGACGGGCTGTCAAGTAGGTAAGGCGTCGTGGAAAACCGCTACTGGGTCTCCTCCTGCAACTGGAGCTTGACACCACCGGGGCTGCAGGGCTTGCTACTGCTGGGAGCAGGAGCTTCAATGGCGCTTGCGCTCATACTAGGGGGCCCGCTGCTCTGGGGGCTGTTGGTCTCGTCTGTCAGACCGGGGGTGGGCACAGATGATTCAGCTCCTGTCTTGGAAGAGGTGCCATTGGCCCCAAGGCCGAGTAACTTCTCGAGAGCTTGCAGCTGGCGTGAAGTACCGCTCCTCTTGAGACTAAAGTATTGAGGTTTGATTTCCTCAATCAGAAGCTCTTTCTCGGTACTCTCAAGTTGACTGAGAAGTTTTTCTATTTCCGGTTGTTAGAACTTAAAATTTCAAGGAACGTGACATAGTTGTACTTACGAATGACATAGTTGCCATACTGATCTCTCATCATCTGCTGGAGTGCATTGGTGCCGTCACTTCCAACGGTTGTAAGCTGCTCGCGGATCTCAGATCTCTGCTGAGCAGAGCCATACTCGATGCACTTCTCAACCACGTTGGATGCAAACTTATGTTTCGACAGGGTTAGGAGTTGTGACATGACCAGCTGAATCACCTTGGCTCGATCCTCAGGCTTGCCATTCTCAATGACATGCTGTGCTACATAATTGCCATACTGATCGGTAATGAGAATCTGGAAAGAAGTGTGAAGCTCCGACATGATCTTGACCTTGTCGTCCTCGGTACCGTGCTCCAACATGCGCTGAATGACTCGGCATCCATAGGCATGAGAAGCGAATGGAGTCACATGTCCTTTGAAAGCCTTCATGATGAAGTCCAGGTGCTGGCGTGGCACTAGCTCGATGATTTTCTGCACAACATGGTTGCCATTCTGATCGCGAATAACCCTGGCGATTTCCGGTTCAAGCTCCTTGGTCAGCTCCGCTTGCTGTTCTACAAGAACGTGTTCCAATGCCTGCATGGAATTAGTCATCACCATAAAATTGGGAGAAGGCATTCAGATGTACCTTTTGGACCACACGGCAGGCGTATACCTGGACCGACAAATCGACAACCTTGCCCTTCATCTTCTCCGCTAATACCTTCTTTTGGACTTGGTTTCCATGCTCGAAGAACTTCTGGATGACGTAGTTTCCAAAAACATCCTTCATCAGTTGAATGGCGTTTGGCTCGATCTCTCTGAAGACCTGGTCCTTCTCATCGCTATTCGCTGTTTCCAGCTTCTGCTGAATAAACCTAGATCCGTGCTGATCACCGCTGAACTCCACAACGTAGTTATAAATATCCTTGAGCTCATAGCGTTTGTTTGATTTGGAGCTGACTCGAAATTCGTCGAGGAGAGCGCTGCGGACACCCTTGCCTGGGTCTTGGTCACGAGCTGGCCGGATGTGCAAGTTAGGACCCAAGGAATACCCGGTTGGTATCTGAGGAATGCCATAACCATTGAGTATAGGAGGACGAAAGCCTTGGTTGTAGGGCTCAAGAAACTGGGTGGGATATTGAGAGGCAAAGTTGGCGAAGGCGTATTGGTTGGGGTAGTAAGACTGGTAAGGAGGAGCGTACTGGACCGGTACCCTTCTTTCACTATCAACGGTTCTAGGGTCTCGGGTAGCCTGGCGACCATTCCAAGGATCCGGAGTTGGCGCATAGCTTCTGGGACTGCTGCTCTGATCAAGACGATAGCTTGGTAAAGGCGACACACGGTCGATAGAGCCCCGTTTCATTGACTGGAACTGCGAATTCATAACATCAGGGCCCAGGTCAATGCTGGTATTGAAGCGAGCGCTGCCAGGCTCACTAACCCAGGTTTGGGAGCCTGGATTCATCTGGAAAGGTTGAGATGCAGGGTTGAAAGTCGAGGATGGAGAAGGGCCACCGGGGTTGTCCAGAGTGACTCGTCGAGAGAACTGAAGGGACATATCCTCGTCAATCTGCTTATTGTTGAAGTTGAACGCTCGCTGATTCGCTGATTGGTTTTGGTAGGACGATGAATGCGTGGGCATTGGTCGCTGGGACTGAATCGAGTTGCTGGGAGTGTGGCCACGCCCATGGCCATACAGCTCGGAGAAAGCTGGAGATCCTTGGGATTGTCGCGAAGGAGGGACATTGGAATCGCGAGAGGGGTAGGCAGCGATAGAGTCGAGGTAGGCGGCCTCCTGTGACCCGCGCTTTTGGTTTCCAAATGCACCGTTCGAATCTTCCTGGAAAGCGCCACCGTTGTAGCCTTTCTTCATTGAGATAGCAGGGTGTGTTGGGTCGTAGAACCCTGATCCATTGGAGATACCGCCATCGCGAGTCCTATTCGGAGAGGTGCTTGTTGATCGAGGAGGGTTTTCGTTCTTCCACGGGCTCGGACCCCATACGTCGGCTTCAGAGTTCGCGCTCAAGGCGCTGGACCCTGTGTGATTGTCTTCGGAGTCTATCTCGTGGGTGAGCATGTGAGGGATCCCGAATAATGGGCCATGCGCCCTGGACACACCTTTGGAAGCGATGGAGCGGTCTCTGGCATTGCCGATGGATGACGACCAGATGTTCTTATTAGGGTAGAGGTTGGATCCAGGGAAGCCTGAAGAGGACATGGGAGGCTGTGGCTGCGACTTGTCGCTGGAACTCGACGGCATGGCGAAGTTTCCAAATGCCCTCGACCGCGTCTAAAGTATGGCAAAACTCGTTAGCAAATAGTTGTTGCAAAGAAAAATGGCATTTGTCGTCATGCGTCGTAATCGTGTCGTGGATTTTGCATTTTTTTCAGGGAGGGTTTGGAATCACACATGTTTGTTGTAAACGTGGGCTTGAGGCCAGGGCGAATAAGCCTGCACCGGGCTGTGCGCTAGTCTGGTGCATGGTTGAGACACACGACCACTGTGACGTCGCAATCCGAGCTTGAGGCCTCGGCAGGGGGGGGAGATACGACAATCGGCTGTGCAAACAACAAAATGGGGAAGAGGGCCAAACAGGGATACTCACTGTAGTCGACATGTCTGTTACTGTAAAAATGGCGTTTCGTCTCTTTTTGTTGGTGATTGTCGGGCGAGGGAGGATCGCTATAGAGACAATTTTGACTGGTGCCGGACCCAGATTTGATTGGGTCTGTTTGAACTTTTTTTTTCCGTGTTTGAGCGGCGAGTATCAAGGGCGACTTCGTCGCTGACGTCTGAATTTTTGGTCGCCGCGCTGGCGCTGGCGCAAGGGAGGGTTTCTGTTTAGACCGGCAAACGGGGCATAGCACCACCACCTTGATTCGGCAGTGGGACACACACACACAGACGGGGGTGGGCGATAGCCAGTACCAGAGTGACGCTGTAGACGCACTCAACCACTTGCTGAAGGGCTTTGGTGCAACAGCTTCCTTGGGCGATGAGTTGCTTTGCGGGCAGCAGGAGATACTGTCAGGATAATTTCAGCCTCGAACCTCGACGCACGATGGATAGATAGTGCAGGTTGTGACAATGACGATGAATGCCGGAGGATGCGGTAGTTGATTTGTCCAAAAATGGCCTTGAATGGGTCAGCGCAAATCACCACTTGGGTAAGCAGACAACAAGCTCACAGGCCAGATATCACAGGCGGAGGGGTCGGGGAGGGAGGGGGAAAAGACGGGGTAGCCTTTGGGGGGAACAGGGACAGTAAGGCTGATCTGGTTGAACCAGGGTCCGATGACTTAGAGATA